ATAATTACTAGGTCATGATCTATTTTAAAATATTATTGTACACGTTTGCCTTTGTGGACTTTATTAAGAAAATTAAGCATTTGTCCACGAACTTTATGGACAACCCTTGTATGTGTAATTACATGAGCCTGTCTGCTTTAAAAAGATTCATTCTCCTATAACCAAATATTTTCATTATGACCAAAGTCTGTGAATTTTTTTCTTGCTTATTGCTTTTCTTGCAAATCTATGATTTGCTTAGTTATTTCTCAGGGTTAATGATTTTAATGATAGCACAAAAACTTCGTTTCTTTTCTCTTGCAATAAAACTCTTATTTACATAAATTCATGAAAACATTATAAATGTTACCGATAATAATTTAAAGTACGAACAGCTTGATCAGTAATATGCTGTATGTGTGCATTATGGATTGAATCTTTTTTACAGGTGAAAGTTTTGGATAATGCTGGCGAGTCAATGGATGCCTGCAGTTTTAGTGTTAAGGGTATGTTGTAAAGTTCTTTCCTAAAGAAAATAAAAATACAGGAACATAATTTATATGATGCAACTGTTATGTGCAGTATGGCACAGTGTTACAAATACATGTATCATAAAATTGTACCTTTTCATCCCCGGAACATAGAATTAAAATACATCTCACATGAAGACGTATCAGTGACTAGAGCTTTGCAATACACTCCCTGATTGGTCAAATGATATCAATAAAGTCCAGTCACAGTTCTTAAAAAAAAAATCCAGAATTGATTGTACATGTACAATAAGGTGATGGCTTGTGTGAGGTATAGGTGATCAGGAATACTTCAATAGAATTTTTTGAAATTGCAATATATTGTGATATTTGAAATTTTATTGCAATAATCTGTGTTTAAAGGAGAAAAAAGGAAGTAAAAACAAAATTTAATTGAGGATTAAAAGTTATTTTGGTTTTTTTCTTTTTAATCAAAAGATACCTGTCAGTGATCCAATCAAATTAACTAGCTAGTTAGTTTGAAAGATTACCGTATATACTCGCCTATAAGTCGTTTTTTTGGGAGTTAAACTTTGATCCAAAACTCTTTATCCAACTTTTATGCGAGTTATAGAAAGATTGATATTTTAGCGAGTCAATCCCTCTAATTTAAGCTTAAAAAATACAACCGACTTATAGGCGGACCGACTTATAGGCGAGTATATACGGTAAGTATAAATGTTTTTCTAAATTTGTAAGAGGTCAAAATTTTTACCTACATACTGTATATACAAAAAAGGTTCAAGACAAGCATGCTTGGATATTAGTACATATATACAAATGTAGATGTAGGTTTCTGGTCATAGCAAAGAAAATATGTATTTCTGCCTGTGCCACTCTGACAGAAAGTTTGGGTAATTTTTAATGCAGAGTCTGCCATATTCATTTGTGTGTTGTAGGTCTGAAGCTTCAAGGAGCAATCTGCAAGAAAAACAAGCTACAGCTTAGTACAACAATCTCCACTGAGCTGCCCGTAACTCTCCTAAGATGGATCAGGTCAGTAATATATCAGTTATTGATGGACTCAAAATTGTAATGTCTATGTACCAAGTAGTTATTTGTAAGCTGAACAGATTTAGTTGTACCAGCATTCAGACAAAGGACACTTAGGGACTGTGATTATTAGTGTTTTGTCAGGGTTTTTTTTCTTCTTTCATTCTCTCAGTGTATATACCAGGTAATGTGTCTGTAGTGTTTGTGATTCTGTTGTTGATTGCCTCAGCTACTTTGCAGCAGTGATTAAAAAAATGAAACTTGTTATACCCTTGTAATAAAGGCTTAGAAAGCATCTAACTTGTATACGCAAGACAGATGTATTCTGCAAATTATTTGATTTTATGTTTTTATTACCATATTTTGATATTTCCATGCTTTGTGATTTGCAGTGTTGCTTTTTTGAAATGAAAAAAACATGCAGTGAAGACTTGTTATCCTAAAACACTTTTTCTGTGATTTCAGAACTGATGACAACGCCATTACTGCTGGAAAGGTAACTCTTCCAGTGTACTTGAATGCGACTCGCTCCCACCTTTTGTTCACCCTGGATTTTGACACAGAGGGTGAAGGGTCAGGCAAAGACCACAGCTTCTACGAGAGAGGAGTGGCTATTATTTCCTCAGATTTGGGATAAACAGAAAATGCAGGCTTACATATTGTACCCAAACATTGTCATGTGATTCTATATGCTTTTTTAGAAGAATGCAATTGTGGTGGTTTTTGTTTTTGCGCCCTTGCTCTATATAAATATGTATTAGAACACTATTTGACAGAATTTCCTTTTAGTGTATGTTTAAAACTCCTGTATCTTTATAATCTCAGTGCTATTCCATAGGTATTTGTCGATCTATTATGTAATTACAAATGGTGATGGGTCTCAGTGGTTTGAGAGATTAAAAATAAGCTTTTAGAATTCTTCAAAATTGAACAATTGTTTTCTATATTACTGGTATATTTTATCTTTGTGATATGATTTATGATTTTGAGTGCTGCTTTGTACATGTATATTCCAGTCAGAACTTCAAATGCAAACTGTATAATTTTCAAACCATTGTCCTGTTGAAAATTTATGTAGCTTCAAGTTTGTGTTCAGTGAATAAAATATTGGGGAGAAATTTGGGAGTTCATTTACTTGTACAGGTGTACTTAAAAAATGATTGCACTTAATGAATCCAGCTAAGGTTTATGATTGTGATTAAGGACTGTTTGTTTGCTGGACAGCTGTTTCTCTACTGTAACCAAACTAAGATGAAACTCTTGTTCAAATTTACCTAAATGAAACAAGACCTAGATCTGTTAAACATCCCCCATTGATCCATGTAGTAATGTGGTAAGTTTATTATATTTCTGTTTAACATCCCTTCGAGAATTTTTCACTCACATTGAGACACCACCACTTGCCAATTTAGACCTGTACTTGGCACTTTGGGCAGTGAGGGATCTTTGTTGTGCCAGTACCTGCTGCGACACAGGACCTCGGTTTGATAGGGTCTCATCTGAAGGACTGGTCTCCACTCCTGCTGTGGGATTCGAACCCACGACTTAAGAATGAACTCCTTACTCTGTGACTTGAGAGCAAGTGCTCTAACCACTGTGCCACATGGACGACTAGTGTGGTGAGTAAACATGGAGTAAGTGTATGGTGGTCTATTCTGCCCTATACCAGGATTGACTCAAATGCTTTTAAAAGACTTGTGCCATGGTCACTAAAATAAAATACATTGAAGCTTACTGATTGTAAGTTTCTGTTGCAAGGAGTAACATAATTTGTTATGTGTTCTTTATATTTATGTCTTTATATTTTTGATCACTCAAGGTATTTCTGTTAACTTTTACACGTTTTAGGTTTCTCACAGTGTCCACAACCTCAGGGAAACCTCAAAGGCTATGAGGGGCTAAGTATTTACTGCCATAAAGGAATATTGCCTATTTGAATTGGTGAAATTATCCATTCATTTGTTTATATCACCTATTATAATTGGTGATATCACCTATTCGAATAGATGATATCACCTATTTGATATGAATTGGTGATATCACCAATTAGAAAAGGTGATATCACCTATTCAAATCAAATAGGTAATATCACCAATTCGAATAAGTGATATCACTAATTCGAATATTCACTTTGATTAGGTGATATCACCTATTCAAACTATGCATGAAATAATAACTGCTCCCAAGACTAAACATGTACTGCATACATTTAATCTATACAGGAAGTAAACTTTCAGTCTCTGAACATAAAAAATAATAAAAGAGAACAAGTATCAATAAATATAGTAAAATATATATAATCTTGTGTGGATTGATTGTAACATATATGTCAAACTATATCACAGGGGAAAAGGCCAGCCTGAATTTGTCTTGCAGTGGGTCAATTGAAATCTAATCCAGGGTATTATCAAAACCACCATCCGCCATCTTGCATGCAGAGGTGGAGTCAAACGTATCTCTTGGTTCATCTACGAGAAAACCTAGTTTTTCATATGTAAAACAGGTTGTTCTGTGTTTTTTTTGTTTGTGTACATATAACAACGAACAGTGTCTTCTCTTCCCCCCCCCCCCCCCCCTTTGTGCTGAAAAGTTTATCTTACAGTGAATCTTCGATTTATTAGAATATTGCAGTGCTGAAACAGTAGAGGATATGACTCAAATTAAGTTTAAAGAAATCCATGGAACCTTTTAAAATCTTTGAAAAAAGTATGTAATTTTGAATCAATACTTTTGGAATAGAATAGAATATTTATTCAACCAATTTGGGCCCACAGTGGAGCATAAACAAAGATAAAGATGAACAATTAATGTCCGAAATCATAGTTATAAATGACAATAAACAGAACAAAATAATTTTATAATGAACAGAGTTAGCTGTCAACTCTTAGGATGCATAAAATGTATACAAATAGTATATGTATAATGACTGTAATATGCCTATATTGTACTTTATTGTTTTCTCATAATGTTTGCATTTAAATGTTGGCATAATAAAACAACAAACTGAGAATCTTCATTTGAAATAATCCATGTAAACAGGTCAACATTATTAAGCAGTATTAAATCTGGAAAAGTTTTAAAAATTTTATTTAAAAACTCTCCTCTAGAATCATCATACAGTGGACATACTAGCAAATAATGTATTTCATCCTCAGATGGACTTGAACTACAGTAACGACAGACTCTTTCACTCCTGCATGGGAAGAATTTCATTTTTACCACATTCATTAAGTTTCCTTTCATATCTTCCCGCCTCTACCCTTAAGATTGCTCATTGAAAGCATTTTAAAAATTTATTTCTTTACTTTGCATGGAACAAACTTTACAGTTCTATTTTAACATCACGTTGGACAACGAATTTCGTTATAAATCAAATGCTAACAGCTTTTCAGTATTTTTAGTACCTTGATTATTTTCAGGAATTATTGTACGAGTTAACAAGGAAAATTTGCCTCGTTTTCAAATCAACGCGTGATCCAGATTTTATCCTTGGATTAGAAAGGTTGCAGAAAAATAGGTAATTTTGTCTTTTATAATGCACGTGTTTTTGTATGTTTGTTTAAAAGCCATGAGTTTAACAAAAGGAGTGCTATGCATTGTCTAATGACCTTTACACGGAGACAGAATCCAATAACATTTAAAGTATGTCTCTACATTAAAAAAGGAAGGCACTGCATTATTTCATTCTGTTTCAATTTCGTTGCGAATTGGGACGTTGTGAATTGTTATTTTTATAAAGTTAAGCGTTTGATAAAGAATATCTATCTTTGGGGTGAATTGTATCGGGCACTTTCGCTTTGTGCATGTGCATGGCCGCCATGATTCAGCAAGTTGGGACTACAGGCACCAGAAGCATTGATAACATAGAGCTCTTAATCCCCCCCCCCCCCTTCCCAACTTCCAAAATGCATCAGACGATTTATTAAACGGACACGGGCTCATTATTTTTTTTTCCATTGACAGCGTTTAAGGAGTTTTTGGTGTTATTACTTCGTTTTGCCATATATCATTCTGATTGGTCGACATATCACAGTTTCAATCAGATGAAGCAAATCACATTGGTTTACATCAGAACCTCCTCTAACACTGCCAGTGGAGAAAATATTTTATGTGTTTGTTTAATAACTCATCTGATTACAGCATATAAAACATCAGGGATGGGGTTTAAGTTAAAGAGACTTCTATATTCTGAGTAGGAGAACATCTTCCTGACAGAATTCTTGCAAAAATTTGATAGGTAACCCTGTTTCTTGGAAATCTGCCTCAAAGCAGGGAGCCTCCGGTTTGTTTTGGTGACGACCATTTGATTCTAAAGGGGGGGGGGGTGGAGGGGCTGGCAAAAATTTCGAGTTAGAAGCACTAGTCAAGGACTGTGCAGATTATTTGTTTTCTTGAAGGCTGAGGATAGATTATTTATTTTCAATATTTTCAAGGACAGATTATTTAAAAAAATCTGCCCCCCTCCTCCATTCAGAATAAAATAGTCATTCACTTATAAAGGGTGACTGCACTTAACGCTGGTTTTTGGGCCTCTTTCACAACACTGAGATAGAAATGGATCATTACCACTAAAAATTGAACTAGTGTGATTGGGTTAGTGCAAAGTCCAACTGAAATTCACTAGCCCAACCAAATTTTTACTAGTGTTTGGGCATCGGGCTAGTGCTTTTGGTACACACTGAAAGTGAAACAAAATAAAAGGAAAAACACACTCCTATCAGTGGATAATAACTTAAGCTTTCAAATTTGAATTGATTTAATTGAGAATTTTTATTATTTTGCCCTCAGTATTACAGTATTTTACCATGACAAAATATATGTCATTAATAATGAGACTCCACTGTATTACACTTCATAAAGTTCATGTAGACTGCAAACACTGATTTTTAGCTCACCTGAGCTGAAAGCTCAAGTGAGCTTTTCTGATCACCTGTTGTCCGTCGTCTGTCCGTCTGTAAACTTTTCACATTTTCAACTTCCTCTCAAGAACCACAAGGCTAATTTTAACCAAACTTGGTACAAAGTATCCTTGGATGAAGAGAAGTGTAAATTGTTAAAATAAAGGGCCAAGTCCCCTTACAAGGGGAGATAATCAAGAAAAGACAAAAATAGGGTGGGGTCATTAAAAAATCTTCTTCTCAAGAACCAGTGGACCAGAAAAGCTGAAACTTATGTGGAAGCATCCTGGGATAGTGTAGATTCTAAATTGTTCAAATCATGACCCCCGGGGGTAGGGCGGGGCCACAATAGGGAATCCAAGTTTTACACTGAAATACATAAGAAAAATCTTTAAAAATCTTCTTCTCAAGAACCACTGGGCCAGAAAAGCTGAAACTTATATGGAAGCATCCTGGGGTAGTGTAGATTCTAAATTGTTCAAATCATGACCCCCGGGGGTAGGGCGGGGTCACAATAGGTATATTAAAAGGGGGGAAATCTGGTAAAGAACAGCATGGCCAAAGTTACTCAGGTGAGCGATGTGGCCCATGGGCCTCTTGTTAGAATTTTATTTACTCTTCCATTTGTTGATGATAAGTGTAATAAATTGTTGTTTTTTTTTCTTTTTAAGAACAGAATGCCACCTCCAATATCTACAAAACTGTATATTGGGAATTTACCTGAAACTTGCAGAAAAGCTGACCTGCAAAAAATGTTTGAAGCATATGGAAAAGTTATAGAATGTGACATTGTCAGAAATTACTGCTTTATTGTAAGTTGTATAATTCTTTTTTTTTTTTTTTACACATTTGACTACATGATTTATATAGTAGATGTAACCTAAATTTGCAATCAGATAACAATGTTTTTATGTTAGTTATCGTCACTTTATGTTTGTCAATTTGAATTTACAAAAAATTGCATTAGCATTGTTGCAGTTGTATTATATGTTATTGACTTTAATTTTTGTCTTAGAAATTGTAATTTCTTTTCTCTCCTCAGCACTTTGAAAATCCAAATGAAGCAAAAATGGCACAAGCAAATCTGGACGGTGCTGATTTTGAAGGCGTCAAATTAAAAGTGGAGGTTATTATCATTAAATCATTATACTGTATGAAAAAGCATTCTTAATTATTAAATTTTTTGGATAAAAATGCATTACTTGAAACCAATCAGTAAGAGAAATGTTTGTTTATTGTGAAACAGATGTCTCACAGCAAAGTACGCCAAAAACCTGGGATGGGAGGAAAAGGCGAGTGTTACAGATGTGGAAAGGAGGGGCACTGGTAAGTTTTCAATTTATAACAGGCGGACTTTATGGATGCCGATAGTACAAGCCTTTCATCTAGGATTGTTTTGTCTTTTTTTTTATAAATTACATATACATGTACTTATTTTTTTTCCCATCATCCAATCCTATATAAAACTCCCTCAAATCTACTCAATGCAGTCAAGTTTGTATGGAGAATGAAGTTCTTAAATACATGCAACATTTCCAAAAGAAACATAATTTATAATGCAACCAATTTCAGCATACCTTGTGGTGCAAAATTTAACAGAAATGACCTATCAACTTTTTTTGCAATACGATAAAAGTCTTTAATCCTAGAGTTAACTTTCTTATCAGAGGGTCATAGAACTTTTAAAATTTGTTTTGGATTTATTGTAATGTGGACTATGAATTATAAATCTGCTACATGTATTTCTTTATTTTGATATAGGTCAAAGGATTGCCCAAAAGGACCGTAAGTAATATGTTTCAAATGTTTTTAATCTAAATACATGTAACCTTTCCAAAGTTTATTTTGTTTAGATTTACTATAAATTTTATTATGCACATTTCTATGGTGACATATCATAATTTATTTAATTTTTTTAAAACAAATTTTTCTTTTATTTATTAAGAATTGATACACAAACTAGATCAATAAAGATTCTAATGATAATGCATGCTTATCTTGATAAAAAAGAAACTGTGTATTTTTAATAAATCCTGATTTAGATCTCGTGGAAAGCCTAGAGGACCAGAACCCCCGTACAGAGACCCCTACAGAGATCCATATGATCCCTACTACAGGGAGAGATACCTGCCTCCCCCACCTCCCCATGACAGATATAGACCATACCCAGAACCCTATGACAGGAGGCCTCTCCCTCCACCTCCACCACGAGATCCGTACTACAGAGAGAGGGACCCTTATGCTAGACCACCTCCAGAGTATTATGGGCGTCGATCACCCCCTCCCCCTCCTATGAGACCAAGACCCGAGTAAGTACAAAAATGAGATTTCACATTTTAGTAACATAGATGGAATTTTAAAGTATTTAGAAATGAGAGATCTTCATTTGGTCTCTGCTGACAAAACAAATATCTTTTCCAGTGATCCATATTATGACTCGTACTATCCTCCTAGAAGAAGCAGGTGAGAACTGTGAACATTTTTATTTCAGTAAACTTTGGGAAAAAAAATGAAGTGATTTTAAAGAAAATGATTGATATAAGATGTTTTTAAATGCTGTAAAGTATATGTAATGTGTCTTTTGAATGTCAAATTCTTCACAACATTGTTGTTTATTGTAAACAGCTACCCAATGCCACCACCCCCGGGAACAAATCGTTTGTCGCCACCTCGCAGCCGCGTCCCGGCACCATATTGAACGTCGCAGACCCGCGTCGGAGGCCAAAGATGGAAAGCTGATTTAATGCTTTCATAATTTCAAACGGACTTGTGAAACTTTTTACAAAAATATTTTAAGAAGCATTTTATAGATTGTATCTGCATTGAGAGAAATGGAAGAAAAGACTGGATTTATTGTGTTATATAGTAAATGAGCGACTGTGGAAGGACGAACATCTTTGCTTAATTAACCGTGATCAAATCAAGATCTAATGTAGACGTTTTTAGAATCGAGTTTTCACACGTGTCATTTGTAAATATTTTCATTGTCTCATGAGTAAAAACAATAAATGATAAGAAAGATGTATAATAATGTTTTTCTTTCGGGATTGAATGAATTTGATAATTTCAGCTCATTTTCTTAGAGAGAATGGCCTAGCATAACGTGGATGAAATAATTATATGATCAACAAATTTGGTAAGAATGATTTCGAGACGGTGATCCGCGCTAGACAGTGCGCTACTGTTTCGTTTGCTTACATATTTGGTGCAACCTCGTGCTTTTTGTATTTATATTCTTTTGCAGTTGCATTTGTGAAGTAATCTGTAAAAATAAAGCTTTTCAAAATTTTCTAAAATATAATTGAATAAGCACATTGTAATACAAACTTTGTATTCTGTTAAACTTTATTTAATGTATATGAAGTCTTTACTTATTGTATTGAACAGTATTGAGTGTGGGTGAATGTTTGATTTCATCATCCTGCAAGATACTGGAATTCCTAGAAGTCCATTAACCAGAGCAGAAATCAACCTGATATTAGTGGAGGTATTATTTTTAGCTTACATATACCTGATCATAAGGCCACATGTAATTGAAATAATGGTTCTCAGGCCCGCACGCGTCTGTTTCGCAAATTTTACTGTATTTTTGATTAAATAAAAAGTTGGTAATGCAGAGACCAATCCGGAAAAAAAGTTCCGCCATCATTTTCTCATAGTTTGGTACTCAAATATTACTTCCAGTAGCCACTTGGCTACTTTGTTTAAAAATACATTCAAAGGTAATGCCTATGATGTTCACACGTTGATAAAGAATGGATAATGCAAACCTATTGATCAGACATGGAAAGCATATCAATTTTCAAGATGCTGAATTCTAATCATATCAAAATGAGCCATACTTTGTGTGTTGAAAACGAAAGTAGGTGCAAATGCATCTTATGCAAATAATATATACCAGACAAGATATAAGTTTTACACAATAATATATTTGTTGTTTCCATTTATTCATCTTTCCTTTAATGGGTTTTAACCCAGGTTTCTCACTAGGATTTTGCTAATTTGAGTCCCAGGACTCAAGGTTTCTGAGAAGGTTGAGTCCCAGCTAAATCTGATGCATCCCAGAAAAATTATACTGAGTCCCAATTGAATTATTGTAGTATCTCCATCCAAACAACAACAAAAAAAAATTTTTATTCTAACAGAAGTTTATTTTATCAATATTAAAATGTTCAAATATATAAATAGTGATAATGATTTGTTAGGTTTGGATACTTTAAATTACATTTCTTATTTTTAGATGGAAGAGCAAGTAAGAAGAATGGTGATGACGGAGGAGACATAACCATCTAACTAGGACTGTTTTGTCATTTGTTCAGAGATGAGGCTTTCTTTATTCAAGGGACAAAATGGATTTGTCCAATATCTGTGTTATTGTTTTGTACAAAGATAAACAAAAATCATATTTACAAATTTCTTCAGTTCTTTTCTTGAATGTTTTATAGTACCTTCTTCAGTTAAAAGTCATTCTAAATTGGTCACAAGTAGTTTAGTATCCTTTACATGATACATAATGGATCAATTTGGATTTTGTTATTACCGGTAGCTCTTCTGAGCCAAAGGCTCAAAGAGATAATGCTATGGCCATTTGTGCAGTGTGCATAAACTTTTTATACGCCCGTCTTAAGACGGGACGTATTATGTTATAGCCTTCATGTCCGTCCGTCCATCTGTCCATCCGTCTGTTAGCTTTTTATACCCCCCGCAAACGAAGTTTAGGGGGGGTATATTGGAATCAGCATGTCCGTCTGTCTGTCCGTCTGTCTGTAGACGAGATTTTGTCCTGACCATTTCTTGGAAACTGTTGGAAGGATTTGTCTGAAAATTTGTACACTTATTATTCGCCATATGAAGGTGTGCACCTGGTATTTTCATTATGATTGGATAATTTTTCTGCATTTTACAGGTGTTTTTTCATTTTTATTATTTGGTTTTGTCTGGATCTGTTCCCAGAAACTATTGCATAGATTTGTATGAAAATTTGTACACTTATTATTTACCATACGAAGATGTGCACCTGGTATTTTCAACATTATTTGATAATTTTTCTGCATTTTACAGGTGTTTTTTTTAAAATTTTTATTGACTTAGTCATTTCGGGTTCATGTCTAAGGTTTGAGACATAGAATCTAGAACACCTGTACAAATATGTGAACTACTGCTTAAAACTACTCATTAGAACTAAAAAAAACCCACAAAGTATTAAAAACAGTTTTTACATTACACAGCAGATAGTGTAAATCCATTTGTCCCTTGGGAGTAATGAGTGGACATGCATCCAGTTAAAGATTAATTAATGAGTTCAGTGTGGGAAGCTGTTAGGGCATCTCTGATCAGGCAGGTCTTATCTATATCTCTGGGGAATTGGGCAGAAAGAAAGAAAGATCTCTGTTGTCTAAGTCTCTTAATTGTTATTTATGTCTGTCAAAATACATAGTTACTAAAACCAGCCTTTTATTTTTAAAATGAGTTTGATATAAAGGTATTAAAATCAATTTGATTTTGTATAATTAATTATGATATTTTTTTTTTCAACAATCAATTTGCAGAGTGTCATGTCTCACAAAGATGACAGATAGTTGCAAACTATTTTTTCAATGTAATAAAAAACACTGTAATTATTAGTGTTGATATTTTATTAGGCTGTACCTTAGTTTCATTCATTAAAATAAAGTGCCCCACCACAGCATTATACGCCCATCAAATATTGTTAAATTATCATAAACAGTTTAGATTCAATTGGTCGAATGACATCTTAGTGAGACAAGGCAGTCTGCAATTTGTTGTAAAGATATAAAAATTCAAATAAAAAATGTACAATAAATAATTAGTTTAAATTATATTATACAATATCATATAAGTTTTAATTATTATAAACAATATCAAATTAGTTTTAATTACATCAAATTTATCTTGAAAGTAAGACTAGCCAACAAGAACAATTCAATACAACACAAGCAATTAATTAAGAGACTGATTCCTTTTGCCCATTTCCCAAGAGATGTAGATAACACCTGCTTGATCAGAGATGCTCTACCAGTTATCACCTCACACTAAACTCATTAATTTATCTCTAATTTGACATGCAATTTTCTGCTAT